TGTTGAAAAGGTCAAAGAAACTGGATGTCACCAATGACCGGTTGCTTTGGTCATCTAAAACGATATATACCTTGATGGCTTTGTCTGGGCAGCTCTTGTGATACACCTTTGCTAGGCATATCTTGGAACATGACCCATCAACTTGTCCTGCACCACATAGTGCAGCTTGAGCTGACAACTTCCCTGCTGTCGTTACCCTCTTCTCCCTCTCCGCCATTCTGTGACGAGGTTATAGCTGAGACATGTTTGGTGCTGTCACACTCAAAACATTTCACTACTGCAGTGCAGTCCTTTGCCACCTGACTATTTGAGCCACAGCCACCTGAAGATCTTTGGCTCTAAAGGCTTTGCACTTCTTCAGTGGATGTGGCTTTTGATGATTTGAACAGTGTTTATTTGTATCACTGGAAGTGCTTGACTCTGCTGGGGAGACATTGATCTTATGAACTGCAGTGGGGTTGGTGTTTGTAAGATGGGGACTTTCAACCTTTACAGAAGATCTAAAATGGCTAAAACTGGGATCTTTTTTTTTTTTTTTTGCCTCATAGCACAGCTGGTAAAGAATTTAAATGGTGGAAACTGTCCCCTGTATTTTTTTAATGCCTATATGCGTTTATATATATTGAGGTATATTGTTTATGTTTCTTTTTCTTCTCTCTTTTTTTAAGACTTGAGTGCTTGTATACGATTGGATAATTGTTACACCACACCCACCTAGGCCTGTGGCCAATTTCTTGATGATGATGACTCTTTAAAGTCTGCATGTGGTTGTCATTGACTGTTTGACTCTGAAGAAGACACATGTGCGTCAAAACGTTAGTCATTTTATACCTATAGATTATGTTAAAAAGTTCTGTCCTCTGGTCCTTGGTCTCAGTTAGACCTTGGGTCCTTCTCACCCTGTTTCCTTCTTTTTACCTAGAACCTGCTGAGACCCATTTTTTCCATAGTCATGGAAATGTTTTCATCCAAGTCCATAAGGTAGCTATGCTACTATAGGTTCAATGCCTCAAGCAGTATCCAGGTAGGACAAACCTGGAAAATAGCCGTCTTTTTTAGCACACTGCACTTCCATCAGCAGATCTGCTAGCTCTTTTATCTTCAGATTTTATTTCGCTGAAACCTTAGGGAACTTGTCAAGTAAATATGGCTTTTTCAACTACCTCTGGTGCTGCGTAGCATTCCTGAAGACGTTTCCAGGCTTTTCTGAGTGCTATGTCTGGAATTGTTACATGTGCACTGAATGCAAAAGTTTCACTTGGTTGCAGGATTCTTTGCCAAGCCATCAAGTCATTAAGTCTAGCTCCTCAGTAGCAGTGAGACCCAGCCCTTGTGTAGCATTTTTATATGAAGACGATAATTTTCTGGTTTATCGTCAAACTCATACAAGCTTGCACTCTCCAGGTCACGTCGAGCTAAGTATTGTACACGATGTTCAGTTGCAGACACGCCCTGGTCAGTTTTTAACTGGGGGTAATAGCACGGAGCAGCAATATTTTAGTCGTTATGAAACTTCTTTGAATCGACTTGAGCATCCTCTCTGTCAGTTAAAGTCTCACCATATGACAGTTTGACTGCGGGTGGAACATAAGTCAAACATAAGCATTGCCTAGACCATCCTCTCATAGATTCACATTTCCTATGTTATTAACCTGTCGATGCTCATGCGAAGAAACAGGATCCTGCCGGTATGAAGAGAAGGGATTGTTCGGACCAAAAAAAATGAGAGTTCCATCTGTAGCTGCTCGCTTTGCTAGTTGGGCTAAAATGAATTCGAACATAATTGCTTGTCCGCTCCATTTGATCTTCTCCTGACGAGCCTGTTTCATCCAACAGAATAGACTTTGCAATTGTGTCAACTGATTTCCAAACGGCTGATTAAGCTTCAGCAGCTGCTGCTTCATGACATATGGCGAGTGTTTCAAGCTCTGTCTCTCTTCTTACTTTCTCCAACTGTGCTTACTGCACTGTTAGATGACAAAGATGAGTGAGAGCTTCCACTTGCAACAGAAGACTTTGTAGGTTTTCCATCCATCCTGCCGCGGATCGTCTGCGCTCCGGATGGTCTACTATATCCGGTCAGAATCTGAAGTGCAGATCGATGTACACTAATGGCTCTAATGGCTGATATTGCCCCCAACCCATCACACGTTGGACGTGGAAATGGCTACATTTTTTGGGGATCTGCAGCAGCATTGTGAACTTTTGTAAAGACACGTTTCGTCATTAACTTTTTAATGCATCATTACATTCAAAGTGGAAAGGAGAGTGCTACGTCCGCATGAAAGACCCACAACTGGCAGATGAACGCGCTGTGATGAAAATATATTGAATCGTGACACGAGGGTATCATTACACCGGTATTACACAAAGGTATGTAATCCCAGCAGTTAAAAACAAAACAAAACTAAATAAGCCTATATTTTGAACATTGTTTTGGTATTGCTTTGGCTTAGTGTGACTGCAGATGTGTATGGTTATCCTGCTCATGGAACATTCGCTATAGGCTTAAGAGATTAACCAGTTTAGATTAGATGGAAAGGATCTCAAGCTGACTAGCTGAAGAAGTAGATATAGGAACAGTACTTTGTTGAAAATAAATTCCACAGCACTACAACAGCCCACAATGAAATGACCTCTTATGATAGATAATGCTTTACAATGTTAGAGAGCTACACATGGCAGTTTAACTGTTTAATAAAATACCTTACTCACCATTTGAGTAATAAAACACTATTACAACATTTCAAATCCCATCAGTTCTCGCCATCTAAGAGAACCCAAAAATGTTTATTCTTGTTTTATCACCAGCTTTGTTGCATTCTCTTTTTGCCAGCAACTCTCCTCGGTTCAGAGTTGTTGTTTTTTTGCTTTTGAAAATGTGTGATTCCCCGGAGGTTCAAGATTTAGCTGCTCCATGCATGTCAACTTTTCTTTCTCATTGCGACAACTCAATGCCAGCACCATACACGTTAATTAACTTTTCTCCATTTGATATGACCAGAGACGCACAAGCGATTGATGTTTAACCATGAAAACCATCCCGTTAGATCTAAAACATAATCACTTATATTGTAATAGGCTTACCATAATCAGGGAAAGACAAAAACACATTTTGGAAGAAGGATTTATCATGATGTATTGATTTGTTATTTAAATTTATTTCATTTTGAACAAAAAAAAAGTTACACAAAACTTTAAGAGAAGGTAGTACAAAAATGTTGCTGCAAAAAAGGTCTTTGATGAATATTTTTGTTTATCACATGATGATGGCCCTAAGTGGGGTCCTATTCAGTGAAAAATGCAACCCTAAATGCATTAAACTCATGAAACATTATGATGAAATGTAAAACATCACTAAAACCATAACCTAGTCAAGCTAGCTAATAGTTGGCCTAATTTAACACAATGTTTAAATAAAAAACCTATTTGTATTTGTAAAAACTATTTTTTTTTAAATATAAACACTCTTCTAATGTCAAGGACGCACAGTAATGCTTTGATGTAGCCCAATAAAAGTAGCCCAAATATGTCATCCCACACTATCAAGCAGAGTGTAGGCCACTCTGGGGTAGGCCCACTTGCCTGAGGTCAAGTGTCAAACCTACAGCAGATACTGTACATTATAATGCAATCACCAACAGAGGGCACAATTGTTTCTTTTTTCACTCTTTGTTGACAACGATTTTGAATATGGACTGTGTGAAATTATTTAAAAAAACAAAAAAAAACTCTCTGTTCATCTATTTTTTCATGATTCGCTTAAATATCCCATACCCTGAATTATTTGGAAGGTTATTTTGTTTTATATTTGAACTGAACGTGGGAGAGAAAGAGTCACGTTTAAAACTCACATGACATTTCATGTTTAAACAAATATTTACAAGTGCTTAATTACAGTGTTGACCTAAACCAAATCTGTTCAAACCATTATCTCATACACCTTAACATCTTTCAGTCCAAGGCTTTAGTTTAAATTCTCCATTTATACATGTTACTGATAAGTTATATTAAGGCTCAAGAAAAATCACACCAAAATGTTTTATATTTTGTATAAAGTTTGTATAACATTCTCCAACACAAAGGTGAAGAGGTGCGTGGATTCTTTATGAACGGTCATAATTTCCATAGTTGGCTGCAGGTCACGTGACCTGACCTGCCAACGATACATTAGGCTTGTTTGAGATGCGCCTCGCCTCGCCTGCAATGTAGTCGAGAGTAGGCGGCTGCAGTTAGAGGAGGAGTGAAAAAAGCGCAATCAAGCCGGACAAATCTCGGTTCTCGCAGTGGGTCTGACACCTGTGAGATCAAAGACTGATATCGCGGGATTCATGGGATTCACGCTCGTGCACGTGTTGCTAATAAACTGGATGTAATTTTAAGTTCTGTTGCTTTTATATGAAAATAAATATAACGAACAAGACACCAAAAATACTTGTTATTTAATTACATTCCAAATATGTGTTTATAAATATTTTTTTCTTTAATACAGACATGTGTTTTTATATATTGTTTTAATAAAAATATCATGTACATAAAAATATCATATGTGACATCACATAATAACCCATATGGCACTGTCTGAGAGTTTATTCACCCATAACAAATATGTATACACATAAAACATGATATCAGAGTTTTAAAATCAAACATGTTAAAAGAGAAAAATACATCACGGTTGTTTAAACCAATGAGCATTAAGCTGTGTCGTCAGCAAGTCGTTTCCCATCATGCTTTTGATCAGCGCAGTTGGGGGAGAGCAACTGCGCGCGACTGCAGAATCCGAAAGGTGCGCCTTGCGCTCGCGAGAGTTTTTTTATCATACGTCGACATGACATCAGAGCCAGGCGGACCGTTCTCGGACACATTTCTAACCGGCATGCATCTCGCGCTGATCACCGGTGATCGGTTCTGCGCAGATTTTGCTCATCTCAAACAAGCCTAATCTTTCCCTGGGTTTACTGGCAGGTCACGTGACCAGCTGCCAGCCAGGATCTAACTGCACAGGCTTCTACAGTCTGTGCGCTCTGACGTGGTGCTTTGCGCTGCTGTCAATGGTGTTAGATGAAGCTATTGTATTCGCCTCGGGATTTGAGCAATTCGCTTCGCTTTACCTTCCATGTTTTCTGCGATGAAGGAATGAAGAGTCCTCACAATAAACGGTAATTATTTTTTTCCCCTTTATCGGCATTTTATTTATGTATTTGATGTCATGGCATCTGGTTAACCATTCTGTTACTGGATGTTGCATAGCATAACAGTAATATGCAAGATCAATTACACAGAAATAACTGCAAGGACACAACGGAGTGTCATTTTAAGTGATGATTAAAATGTTTCTCATTAGAATGTATTTTCGCAGAGTGAGAGCGATTTGAAACCCATAATATGCAGCATCAACATCTCGATTATTTATTATTATTATTATTATTTTTTGTCTGGTCGCCTGCTTTCAAAATACACGTACATGCTATAATAATTGGTAGTTATTCTAAGAACGAGTGAATGAAAATGCAGAAGACAGCAGTGCGAACCCACTTCCAGCGGATTTAAACGGAAGCTGTTTACAAACATTCTCTCTGCATCACATCTCTGAAATGCGTCCTTCATTCTGGCCCAGTTCAGGTGTTTCGGTTATGGAATCCCAATGTTCTAATCTAGACACATCTTTGATGCCTTTGTGTCTGCATTTTGAATAATGCACCTTTTTTTCAATGACCACGATGCACTTTTATTATATTTTCCATTTAGTGCTTGCTTACGTTCAGGTTAATTTATTCTGCTTTACTGCTATTGGAATAAACCTCTATAATCAGAATATTATTATTATATTGATGTTTCTTAAGTTCTTGACATAGGCCACTAAATATTTTGCTCTCGCATTTGTGTGATTTAAATGGCAAGTTAATAATAGTTAATTTTGCGTTCATATATTGCTGGAAACTGAAACAGGAATAGACTATTGGCTTAATTTGGATTTGCATTAACACACACATAGTACGTAGCCTATTCAAAATATGATGTGTTTTCAAAATGTCCACCAAAACTGAATGTTTGTGCAACTTTAAACAAAAGCTTTTCCGAGGAATATTAATACAGACAGCAAGAAGCTAAGTTATAAATTAAACATGTTCTTTGGTGTGAACTGTGAAGATTACATTTGTTTACTAACATTTTGCAAGCATGGAAAAATCACCTATAATTGTACATCTAGAGTCTAGTGGCATACATGTTGCAATTCACTACACTTTTATTGAGTTGATTAATATCTTGTCATTTTTTATTTTATTTTAATGTATACTCCCAATTTATATAGCCTAAACTACTACTACACTACTACTTCTTCTTCTTTTAAAAAAAATAGCCTTATCATTTATCAGACATTGATGTGACCATGGTCAGTGTTTCTATTTCTCTCTTCCCACACACAAACACACATATTTAGGGGTAAAGCATGCCGCTTTTGCATTTCCACACACAGATGTTCAGTAGATGGAAGTAGGCCAATGACAGATCTGTGTGTAAGCTTTTGGGTGGGCTTCTGGCTTTATTTCAGTTATTTAGCCTTCATACTGGTCTGTAGACTTTTAATTGTAGGTCAGAGAAAAATAACTACAAATCATACATTTCTGTTATCATAGTCTCATTTCCAACCTTCACTCTTAAAAATTAAGGTACTTTTATGGACTTATCCTACTGTATATGGTTCCATGAAGAACATTTGTCATCCATGGAACGTTTCCATTCTACAAAAGGTTATTATAGTGGAAATATATATTTTTCACAGTAAAAAAAAAAACAAAAAAAAACAAAACAAAAAAAAAACGTTCTTTCAAGAGCTGTTGACTGAAAGGTTCTTTGGCGAAACAAAAATGGTTCTTCAGAGAATCGCTGTGAAAACCCCCATTTGGCACATTTATTTTTTGAGTGTTGTGCACTTTTTCACTAATGTTCAGATAAGAGATTTCAGATCTCTACTCACGTGTATCCAGTGTAACTGAAGCATTGATTGTTCATCTTAGGATTTGTAAGACACTCAGATGGACATGCATACAGTACCAGTGTTTAACACACTGCTTTGGCTCTGTTTATGCATGGCTTAGCCATTGAACATAAACACTGCTCATCTGGCAGACAAATAAACTGTCTAGTGATAGGTGTGCATAGCTCCAGACTTTTGACTCCGGCATAATTGTCTAAACTCTGAACCTCACTGCTGGTTTTAGCAAAATTCTCTGAGTTTGGACTATTATTCAACACACATGCATGTATAGTACAGAACACTTAATACTACTTTGTTTCCAGGATTGAATTGGTAATTTCAGTCATTTTTGACTGAAATATGGATTATTTAGACATTCAGTGAATGGATTGTGGGAGGTCTGTGGGTGTGCCGTCTGACGCTGAGACTAGACTATTATCTTCTGTTGCTCTTTGTTGATGTCATAGGGTTTAGTTATTCTTATAATTCTGCTCAAGAACAATAATTGAATCTGTTTTTTCTTTTTTCTTTTTTATTGCAAAATGAGCTTTTTATCCAGTCCAATGTGGATACAGCTTTATCGTTCAGGGGTTACTTCAGTGACATTAAAAACATCTCTCATCACTGAGGTTTATCTAAATGAGCTACCTCAATCTCATCTCAAGTTTTATTTTTGGTCTTTTCCCTATTGTATTGTGAGCTACAGTAGAGAAGTGGGACAGGAAATGACAATGGAGAAGGATTTGAAATGAATCTTCTTCCTTACTTAAATTTAACAGCCAATACATTGAGCTATTTTGCTCATTCAGGTGATGCAAGTTTGTGCCTGATCGTTTAAGTAAGAAAGAAGATTAATTTCAAGGACACTTCTCAAAAAGTATATATATTAGGCCTGCTGACAAAAATCAGTACAATTATTTTGGTCAATATTGAGCTCACAATTATTCAACAAAATTACTTATTCATTACATCATGCATTTATTTAACATTTTAACCCTGCATTTGCGTCCATCTTGACTAAGCAGAGGTACATAAATAAAAATAAAATAATATATATATATTCTTTTTAGTACAAAGATTAAATGTTGTAAGTGTGTTTTGTCGAAATACACATACAGTTTTTTAACCAAAAATGTAGGAGATATAACTTTTTAAACTTAATTTAACACCATTTGCGTCCAGGTCCGTTTTGACCCGAAATGGAACTATGACTTTACACATGAAATTATGCTGGGCCTTTTTTCCCCTGTCATAGACCTAATATGCGCCAGACAAACAATCGCGCAGCCATCTTTAGAAAATTGTCTCTGTATATTTCTATGGCATCGCTGTCCAAAGTGTAGTGGTGAAGCTGGTGTAGTGGATTTACTTATTGTAGAGTTAATGAAAGATATCATGAGCATTGTAGGGTAATGTTTAAAGCAGACGTCTTAACAAATGTCAGACCGGGAAGATTTTAAAACGAGCCGTTCATTCATAAATATGTAAGATCGCAGTGAAAATACAAACTAGTAGGGTTGGAGGTACTCGAACTCGGACTAGAGTCCGGACTCGTGTTCACATATGAATGAACTCTTGTTGACTTGTCACGCACATGGATGAATTTGTACTCGGACTTGTACAAACTCTGACATTTTAGACTCGGAAAAATGTTTGAGTCTGGGCACTGGAGGACACTATATTATTCAAAAATGAAAGGAAACTAACTTACTTGTGTTGTTTCCGCATTGAGCATTGTAGCCAATAGGCCTATTACACTAATGGCGCTTTTCCAGTACCAGCTCGACTCGACTCGGCTCGCTTTTCGCACCGCTTTCCATTGCAGACAGTGCCGCCACAAATAGTATCCGGTCGTCATTGATGCCTTTTGTTCCTCGCTGCCCTATCAAGCTCTCGCTGGATGCTCTCTTTGGCAACCAAACAATGGAAAGTCTGCACCTCCTCATTTGACCATGGCGTACTCTTCCGAGTTGCCATAATAATAATAGTAGTAAGTTTAGAAACTATCTCTGGCCAAACTATTTAAAAATGGCGGGGATATTCTGGATACTCCATCTGGCGCGTGCAATGATGACGCAGTGAATGGTGAGGATTCTCTCTGACCAATCAGCAGTCGGCATTGTTTTCACATCACATTTTAGTACCGGCTTAGCTCGCTCAGAACCTCGCTGGTGGTGATACTAAAAAAAGTACCCGAAAGCAGGTACAGGTACAACTTTTACACAGTGGAAAACCAAACAAAGGCGAGCCGAGTCGAGTCGAGTCGAGCTGGTACTGTGTAGTGGAAATGCGCCATAAGTGGCGAACGAGACAGGAAGTAAGGTAACGATACTTCCAGTCGCGCTGGTGAACGCTACAATCGCCATTCATTCTCAAAATAGACTGTGACCAGCTTGTTTTCTTTTACTGTCTATGGTTTTCTCTCAGTCATTCATATGAAGAGTTCAGATGCAAAAGCCTCTAAATGCCATTTGCAATTTTCTTCTTTAATGATGATTTTTATCAAACTTGTATATTTAAGTTCAGTAATTTCACTTAAATAACAATTAATAGGTAATTATCATTGCCATTTAAGTGAACTCACTGAACTTAAATATACAAGCTTGATAAAAATCATCAATAAAGAAGAAAATTTCAAATGGCATTTAGAGGCTTTTGCATCTGAACTCTTCATATATCTGGCAAAAGTAAGAATAGCAGATGTTGTCCTTTTTGTTGCTATTTTTCAGGGAGCTGTGAAAAGACTGAAATTGGACAATGGTAACAAATTTTTCCTAAATAAAAAAAAGTTCCATTCATTTAAATGGTGTGACACTTGATGACTAAGCTCACATTTACTAAACAAAATAAATAAATCAAATGAAACGATATCTGATTGAGTGAAATGTAGTGGCTTTTGTTAAAATCTTGTTAACTAGTGTTAGTTTGTCCAGGAGATTGCAGCAATCTTCCGCTAGATTATGGCTCATTTTTTCATGTTAACACCATGAATAAAACTAAGAATTGTACATCTTTACAGTGAATTCGACCTTACATTGCTAGTAGGTCTAATAATGTAATTAAGGCAAATAATAAAAAAAAATGGTTAGACTAAAAACATGAATCAAATGAGTGATTTGACATGTTCTAAACATTTTACTGTCTAGTGGCCTGTTCTGAAAAGAACATATATTTCCCTGT